AAAAACCACGAAAAGTTCGAGGCAAGGTTGCCGGTGCGTTAATGGACATTCGAACCGAGTACCTCCCAGATACATATCCACCTCGGTCTGATGATAGGTGGATTGAACACTGGGACCGCTGGTTCGAATCCCGCCTACTGCGCGTACATTTGTATCCATTTTCATCACTGTATATCATATTCATCGACACAGAGGCTAGAGGAAAAAGTCTTTGCCCCCGTCGGGAATTGAACCCCTGTTGTTCTATAGTAGTTTTTGTCATAAAAATTGTAATGCATTAGTTTTGCATTTACGTGTTTATGGATTACTTCTGTCGATCGCATTTGCTTTATTTCCATCGCGTTATGGAAATAGGTTTCGCCTTTTTAATCAGTCGCCTTGTGGGAAAATGACCACAGCTTCAAAGGCTCTCAGTCGTATTTTAATACTTCAGCAGATAGCGTGGATTCAGTTGCGTGGTTAATGGACATATGGGAGTTTCGATTGAAGGCCTCAGATAACCTGTTTTTACATTGGGTTACTGGTTTCAAAAACGGCTCGGAAAACTTTAGCGGAAACTTTCATTTGAACACGTTTATCCGTATAGGGAATTTAGGGAAGATTATAAACTTTTATTGTATACTTTCTTTGTATGTATGATCACTTCTGGTTCAAGAACTGATACGCCGATTTGCCCTATCAAAATTTGGCTTGCTTCTTCCTTGCGAAGAGGAAAATGTGTCCTGAGTTCGCGTCCTGGTGAGGGCGGTTCCTGATACTCGGAAACAAAACACGATAGAACGACGCCAAGACTAGAGTTGTTTGTTTTACTATGCTGGATCTAAGATGGCTGTCTTCAGGGTTGTTGCGCCGTGTAGTCTGGTAGAAGTTTTCCCGACGTTTCAGAGGTCATCGCTGCCTCCACCATCGACTTGATGATGGAGGCAGCAGGGACCCTTGAGCTTCCTCAACGAGGACTCTGCTCTGTGGAATTTGGCATTCGACAATACGCCTTGCTTAGGACGATAGAGCTGTATAAAGATGTAGACTAACATTGACAACCACAGAAATACATTAGAGCAGTGGTATTCAACCTTTTTTGTTCGCGTACCCCCAGATATAATTTCTCTTCAACTTTGTACCCCCAAAAAGTTGTTGGTGTGTAATTTAAGTTATACATAGTATATAATCTACATCTAAAATAAATTAAGTAAATTATATCCAAAATAATAAGTTTTAAATGAGAAAAGGGAAATTGAAGCTGTTAAACAACAAATACATTGTCGTCTATCATATAAAAATTTAATAAACGAACAAAGGTATTTTAGCAAAGCAAAATAATATGTTTAAATATTTTATCAATTATTAATTACTGTGGTTCAAACCTGTTAATGAGATGATTGAGCTTGTTTCTGCCGCCCAGATAAGAATTACATTAAGGAGAGAAACAAATGGCGCTCCCAAATCGAATGTCCTTACGTCCGATTCTCCCGTGGCTAACCCTAAATCTGGCCCTGATTATTCAGTGTTTATCATTTAAAAAAATATGTTTTTTTTTAAAATTTCACGTACCCCCTAAGATGTCTTCGCGTACTTACCGTGGTGATGATGTAGCTTTCTTGGGTCCTGACCCCGTCTTCGTACTGGTGGCAGGACACTGACTGATGCCTTCGTGCCTACCGTCCCCCCTAAACTCCAGTCTACTTAGCACGTGACATTAAGTTAAGTAACCTGCTATTTGCTGATCTGTAACGCCGAGCCTCGCACGCACAGTTCTTGTCTGTCGGGCGATCACACGTACTTAATTAAGAACTAGTCAACAGATGACACTTTCAAAGCGAACTGCTGAATAACCATCGATTTTTAGTGCTCTTAATGCGTGATCTGACTGATGAAAGTGGGAAATGTAATTTAAGCTTAATCATGTTTCAAACAGCTGATGTATTCCGTTTGATAATACGTAAAGACATGTTTGTATACCGATAAGTCACCTCGTCTTTCACTTAAGAAGGCTCCCACTTGCTCTATCGAGGGCGTAGGATCCGTGGTCAACAAATGAGACTCCGGGTCATTTAGTGCGTCGCATCTAACTACATTAGAATTTCTGTTAATGGGGGGATTTTACAGGGCAGTGGCACGCAACCCCCCCGTGACCCCCTTCCCAGTGTCAATCATGAGAAACCGCCCAGATGTTGAGCAGAAGAATTAACAAGCTGCTCGTTGGCCTTCCGTCCGTAAACTCATAAGAATGTAGTATTCATTTTCTTAGTTTTCCTTGTATTAATACAAATGACGGATCGTAACATCAAATTATTGTGCGTTGTTATCGTTTGTTTGTTTGTTTGTAGCCTGGGCAGAATTTTTCTTTTCCAGTCTTGGGCTGTTACGATTTCAGAAATAATTATGGTATTATCAATTGTTTAGGCACTTTGGAACTCAGTGGACCGGGCATTGACCATAACGAGGTCTTTGTCTACATAAAACAACCCAGAAAAAAAATTCGAAAATTTTCCTACGTCCCGAGAAGGATTTTAATCCACGTCGCATTCCAGCACGTAGGGCGTTGCTGGATAAGTCTTCTTAACTTGAATTTGAATTTTACGCATATCAACATTTGTCCAGTTGCGTGGTCTTGTAATTTTTAACGAAGTTCGTGGATTACGAGTGTTTTAAAACAAAGTGCGAACGAAAATATTTGGGCCCCGAGAAGGGCGAAGTAAGATAGGAAAACTGTGAGCTTCGCGATTAATGTATACCACCTACGTACTGTTTTATATTATAGACGTTTTTAAATCTGCACTTGGATGGATGAGGGAAACATGGAATATGAACAAAATTTTGTTTGGATATACCCTTTGGAAAGCGGCTACTTGGAAGGGATGGAGGGATAGTATTAAGTGCTTGTGAATTAGATAATTAGTTAACTGGCTGTGAAGTTATATTGCCTTGAAGTTAATCAGTTAGTTCGTTAGTAAATTGGTTAACCTATATGCGTGTAGAAGTGTTTAAATGAAAGTAGGTGTCTTGTATTCTTCTCTGTTAGTTTTTGCCTTCACATCATTGTAAAACACGACACACCGGAAGTGAGGAATAATTCAATTTGTGTTGCCCTCCGATATTTCACCTCGCCATAGGGTACGCCCCTTCGTTTCAAGTTTGCAAGTGTGTGCAGGTGTCTATATCAGGTCGATCAGCAATCTCTTGACTAGAAGTTGCACTATGTTTAGGAAATGAACGCATGTGGGGCTGACCTGTATGTCTGTCAGCATTATTCGACTTGAGATTCAATTTGGTTTGGACGTTATGGCACTGAAGGCTACCCTAAACTCATACCTTTCAATTTCCTTCATCGATAATTTCACGGCGGAAGCACGAACTTGCGCAATGATGTATAGTAGTAGATCTTAAAAAAATACACAACTCTGGTGCAGTACTTCCTTGTACATTGTAAAACAACAGAATGGAGGCTGCTTGACATATTAAAATTTTAATTCAACCAGGAATCGATCCCATGGCTACTAAAAACCTGTGTCACATTGTTATGGTCTTGTACTGATATGACTGTCTGCATCTGGATGGTGGTACTGAAATCTTTGTTTGAGACAGCATACATTCCTCTTTGGTTCCATTGCAAAGTACTGTGCAAGCTGTGGCTTAACAGTTACTGACAGCAGCTCTCAAATTTACAGGCTGCGTTGTGTCCGTCCCACACCGCACGCTACCTGCTTTCCTCTTACTCCTAGGAGACTTCAATGCATGACATAAATTCTGGGGAAGCATACATGAAAATGAAAGGAGATGGGTCATAGAGACATATCGGTGAGACCAAACACGTATCTTTTGCCTCTGGTAACCTCTGTTGTCATGACCTTGCCGTGTGATCTCCGCTCATGTCACATTGAGGTTACGTGACTATTTCTGTGGGATTGGGCATTTCCTGATATGAATATGGCTGTCTTCTGTGTAATCTGGTATAAGTTCACCGACGTTTCAGAGGTCCTTACTGCCTTCATCATCACGGCGATGACACAAGGATCCTTGGAACGTTGGTGAACTTCTACCACACTACATTGTGCTGCCGTGAGATCCTCAAATCTTACCTAAATTCCTGATCTGTGCAATCAAGCGTTCGTCACAGTGAACGCAGTTCAATCTGTGTTCTGGAACAGGCCGGTAGGTCCCTGTTCCCACAGCTAGCCGTAATTGAGGTAACTTCTTTGCACACAGTAGATGAATGCCTGTATGACTGACAGGTCAAAAGCTATTTATATATTGATCAATAACAGAATGAAAATGAGCAACATGCTAGTTTAGTGGCCAACTGGATTTGACTCTGGGATCCAGATACACCTTTGTTTACTTCATTGCGTCAGTTGTAATGAGCATTGCGTTGATTTAAAAGGCAAAATTGTCTTTATAATCTCACTGACCCCAGCCTTTTGTAGGAGATGAAACAAAAACATGCAGTTTTAAAGTTTGCATGGTATGTAATACGTAACATTGCATTGCGTTGTATATTTTTATGACAGGCTTACCGATTTGGGTATTCTTTCTTTCTGAAAGTGACTATTAGTGATATGCATAGGAACCAGATTAAGTAGTACCAATCAAACCATTGCTGTACTCACTGTTTTCACATTCTCCTTTTTTTCAGTTTTGGCTACGTGTAAGTCAGCATGTGTGACGATCCCTCCTTTTTACCATGGAGTCGTAGAAGGAACAGTAAGGGGCAGCCAAAAAAAGAAGTTGCTCCTGATCTGGAATGTGCCAGTCCAGAACTTTCTCAAGGATACAGGTTAGACACGTAGTTCATTAAGAAATGTTATTGACAAGTGTGATGCAGTCTTTCCACTGCAAGTTACATATTATCCATTAAATATAATTTTCAGGTTGTGGTGTATCCTGCACATTTTACATTTGTCAAAAGTCAACTTTTGAGGAATTTAAGTCGTTTGTGTGCTGGGAACCCATGTCGTTGACTTCCCATTGATTTACATTATAAAAGGAGTTTCAGTTTACGCCGGTTCGTCCAGGAACGCATCCCCGGCGTAAATCGAGGGTTACCTGTATGCGTAATATGAAAGTGAGAATAAAATGATAGGTGTTTATAAGGATATGTGTTTCAGGTGTAGTTCAATTAACGTATTGTACTGCTTGCAGGATACTGCAGGATGTAATTGGAATCAGCAAGTTCTTCCTTGAACAACCAAATCGCCGAGAGAAAGGAATGCGTGATTACTATGATGTTATTTCCAGTCCTATTTCGTTCAGAGAAAGTGAGTATGGCACCGAAGTCTTTTACATTTAATTTGGCCTTATATTTTATGCAAGATTTTTGGTGGTGCTAGGGTATTTCTTGTACTGAACTGACATTTACTCACCGATTTTTAACGTTCCTAAAGATATCATGATTCTCAGGCTTGAAATTACTCGGCAAAAATAAACCAGAACCATTTGTTTTAAGATACAGAACAAATAGAGAGATAATTAAAAGTGTAGGTGTCATGCTTAATCTTATGTTAAGAATTTGTGATCCAGTAATATCGAGATGCGATTTTCTCCTTCCTCACCCTTCTGCTACTTACCTGATCTTGTTATTGAATTTTGTAATGTAGTGGTTAGCACTCCTGCATTGAATTCAGGAGATGCTGAGTTCCATACTCATCCTGGAGACCAGCTAATCCGAGATATTTTGTGATTTTCCTGGTTTCTCTTGGCAAATACTTGAATAGTACCTTGAGGTAGGCCGTGTTTACTTCCTTTCTTATGCTCTCCAGTTCATCATTTATAATCGTGCTGTCATTCAATGCCGTCAGATGAATGTACGATTTGAAGTTCTCACGGCAGTGAGTACAAAGATGGCTGTCTTCTGAGTTGCAGTGCCATGTTGTCTGGTAGAAGTTTACCAATGTTTCAGAGGTCCTTGTTGCCTTCTGCCTCATCACTGTGATAAGTCATTGTCCTGCATTAACTTTTATTGTGTGGGGAGAAATATCAAGCACTTCTGATATCTCAGCTTGGCTATGAGAATGAAAAGGGAAATTGTCAGTCGCACGTACTAACAAAACGTGATTTTATTGTTTTGACTGAAATTCCTATAATTTTCAGTGCAATGCAAGATTTACACTTCTCCCTAACAAAAACAAACAAATGTTACTGCAGACACAGGGGATTGTTTAAATTTAAATGCAATTAATTTAATTTAAAAAAATAACTTTGCCTTTACAATATTTTGAATGTCATTTTTATTGCAGTGCAGCAGAAGTTTGCCAGAGGAGAGTACAGTAAGATTTCTGAATTTGTGAAGGATGTAAGGTGTTTGCTGTTAAATTGCTACACCTACTTTGGCCCACGTCACGTTCACACCAAGAGGGCTTTAAAAGTTGAACATGTTCTGGAGAAGGAACTTTCCAAACTTCCTATGTGAGTATTAAGATTCCTGTTTCATGAGGCAGACCGTGGGCTCAGAGATGGCTGTGAGCGATAAGCCGCGTGGTTAGGTTGGCCCTAGGGAAGGAGATGCCGGTACTTTTTCGATAGGAAGCTGTTTATCCACGAGGTCGGTGAAATCTGGCAACCCTGGCGTACCTTGAAGTTCATGTATCATGAGGATCGATCTTGTTAGTATTTATGTCTGGTGTGAAGGAAAAGAATTAAAACATTGCCTACAGTTATAGCAATAAAAGAATTGAAAAGTTTACTGCTTTTGAAATGCTTTCGTATTAATACAATACTTTGTGGATGTGAGTTTAAGACATGTCACAATTGCCAGATATCTGTTTTACCATAAATTGTTGATTCGTATTTTGCTTTACACATTTTTCTTCGTTTATGAATCTGTCTCCCTCTCCGAGTGAAAAATAAAGGAATGTCGCTTATAATGAATTCTTCCCAAGAATTCATTATACTTAGTTGCCATGTGAGCTTCAGATAATACAACTGTGGATTAATTAACAGCGTAATTCCAATCATAAACTATGTGTCATTGTTTCTTCTTTACAGGGATCTTCGCAGTCAGTGTTCATTGGAATCTACGCATGGTATTAAGGATGCAGAGGAGATGAAAGGTATGTGTTCACAATTCATCTTTAATAATCCTGGATTAAAATCTTGGCCAAAGTTTTCTATTTAAAATATATTAGCAACAAAAGCATTTTTGTTATGATTAAAGTAATATATATTGCAGATGCAGGAGACGTACAGTCCCAGCTGCTCCAGTCTGTTATAGGAGAGAGGTCGCGTCGTGAACGTGAAAGAAAACTGAGACTGTCAGAGGAACGTCGTAAAGAAAAAGAAGGAAGGGAGCGTGACTTGTTGTTATGGGAACAAGAAAAATTGTTTACTGATTTAAACCGTAGAAATATGGAATGCATGTGGGAGGTAAATGAAACTTTTCTTTAACATAGATTGCACCATTCACGTTGTTGACTAGGTTAGTTTCTTCGCATTGTTTACATATTTTATATTTGATTTCTTTGTTAATGTCACATTTTGCTGCTGCCGGTATGGTAGTTTTGTGATGGACGCATCATGATCAGCAGGAGCTCTACCATTTACCCCATCCACCTCCCCCCCCCAAACGCCTACATGGTGTGTAGCAGAACGGCTTTACTCTTTAGTTTTTTGCATTAATGCAGTCCTCGCGTATAATGAGTGTCACCTTTATCTGTCTTAATGTGTCATTTTCCAAATTCCCCATTTATTGTTGTAATACAGTAAAAGTAAAATGTAACAGGTGTGGCCTTCAACAAGACTTTTTTTTTTTGAGGACATGTGAATGACCATCACGTTCCTCTTAGGTTGCAAGGTATCCTGAATTTTTAAATATCCATTGCTCTGTATCCTTCAAGAATCAGGCCCATATTACATGGCGACTAGGAATGATGTCAGAAATAAGGTCCTCAAGTACTGACACAAAGCCACTAGGTACTCTGAAGATAAAGATCTCCGCATGGTTCTGCGCTATAGAATACTCGGGAGTGGTCATATTTTCATGTTGACTTCAGTATCTGTTAATTAATAACAGATTTTCATGCAGTAAGCAGATCCCAGAGTTAAGTAAGAAAGTAAGTAACGTTGAAGTTGACTGGGAATTTTAAATTGTGGCGATATGAATAAATTGTGAGATACTAACTTATTGTGTAAGACTTGAGGTTCTCACAGCGGTGAGTATGAAGATATCCGTCTTCTGGGTTATTGCACTGTGTAGTCTGGTCGATGTTAATCAACGTTTCAGAGGTCATACTGCCTCCGTCATCAGGGCGATCGCCCTGATGACGGAGGCAGTATGACCTCTGAAACGTTGGTTAACATCAACCAGACTACACAGCGCAATAACCCAGAAGACGGATATCTACTAATTTATTATTGTGTACAGAGAATATGAAATGTGACTTGCAGAATTTCTGACTGGTATCTCTTTCTCTCTCTCTCTCTTTCTCTCTCCACACAGCTGCCTGTTATAGGTCATTTTGTTGCACTGTTATTAGAACAACTGAATATCAGCAACATCTCGATGTTTGAGTTGGAACGTATCATTCTCATGCCTCAAGCGTCAAAGAGTCTTGCTGCCCTGATGACCACTCTCCTGAGGTAGGTCACTGAGAGAACATTAGTATTTAACTTTAACACTAGGACTTAGAGCTTTCAAGCAGTCATGACACTTGAGTTGCGGAATGAGAAATCGTTTTATTCTCCACTGACGTGAGTAGACGTGCAGCGTAAACACGTGCCTTACTACAGATGGTACATTCAGCGTAGGGTTAGTTTTAAGGATTGGTCGCTATGAATGCTGAAGTGTGGTACATCAGTAATAATAAAATTGTATTCTTGTAGCACTCCACAATTTAGGATGAAGCTCCACACAAAACCACCCATGCCATACAAGATTTGGACCAGGAAGCTAGAATTTAAAGTTTCAAGCTGGTACAAGATCTATGTCAAATCAGACAAAAACCCAGACATTGTAAGTAGAAGAGGGAGATATGATATGATATGTTCTTTTAACCTTAAGATTATTTATCACACGTTAACTTCCCTCTCCAAGAGATGAATATTCAGACGTGCTCTTTTAACCTTAAGATCATTTATCACACGTTAACTTCCCTCTCCAAAGTTCATACCAAAGCCATTGATGGAATAATTTTCGGATTTTACCGTGGGTCAGAAAACACCAGTTTATACACTGACATCTCAGTACAACAAATGCCATTATAATTAATTTCAGAATAATGAAAATACTCTTCATCTCTTATCAGACGACCATATATTTCAATTGAAAAACAATTTAGCTCGGCTGGACCTGATAGCATTTATTTAATTTAGTTTAGAGACCTGGCTTTGTAAGTGGCGCGAGACTCTCATAAAGTACAGTACTGTTTCAGGTGTTTGAGAAGCTCGGAATTGAACATCAGTTCTGGAAGATTATGGGTGACTGGAATCCATTGAAGGAATATGAGTTCCATGAACTTACTTTCCATCAAAGAGTCTTACTCATCAAGGCACTTTGTGATTACATTATGGTAAGAGTCCTCGAATATACTTATATTTTTAAAATTTCCGTCTGAAAATACACTTGAAACACTATTCAAGGAATTGTAATTTGTATAACAATAGTCTTTGAAAGCGTGCTACTTGTCTTTTGGGGATGGGGGTTACATTTCCGTAACAAGCGTGGGAAGACCAAATATCCTAATGCATTCTTTGCTGCGTGCATTTTGGGTATTATTACATCCACCTTGTCAAATAAAATAAATTTACAGATTTTAAAAATTTAAACATTTCTGTATTTTCAAAATTTCAAAATATAGAATTGAAAGTTTTATAATTTCCACATTAGAAATTTCAACATTTAAAACTGATGTTTAAACATCTATCCTGGGCTTCTATAACAAAAGCAAACCTAACGTAGCGATATTATCTGGAGTGTACTTTCTTTAGTGAAATATCATCATCCAAACTAATTATTTACAACTACATTACATTTTCATGTATGAATCTGTAAGACTCAATCTTTAACATTCATCTTATATATTTTCCTTTTAATAGCAAAACCACAAAAACCTGAGAGAGACAATTGCAGAGAAACGCGATGATTTTGGAATCTGTCTGGGTGAGGATCGTTCAAGAGCAAAGTTTCTCTACTTTCCACAATTCTTGGACCACGATGTCAGAATCTATAGGCAGGCTTCTAAGCCAAAGAGTTGGATTGACAGAGATATGGACCATCAAGCACAGCTTTTGGCAGAGAATGTGAAGAATGTTCCTGCAAAATGCGAAAAGGTAGTAATGGATATTCCTTAAGTGCGACATTTAACTTTTTGATGAAATTATGTGGTCGGATTTGCAATGCAGTGAATGCTGGAGTAACAAAATATTCAGCAAAACTAAATTTCTCTCTTGACCCCACTAGTTTACTGTATATCTTCACGTAAAAATATTTCACTTTAACGAATACCGGTTTTACAAAACAGATGTACTTCTGTGATTGGATTAAACTGCTACATATTGCACTGCTGTAGTAATAAAGGTATTTTAATTTGGAGACGATGTTATGTAATGACTGTTAACACCTGTTAAAGACTTTGATAAATTTATATTATATTATTAGAACATTTTCTTCAAGAGCAAGTGAGGCTTTGAAGGTAAGAATTGCATAAATATTACAAAGTTGCTTCTCAGAAACAGACAGCATTAATAACCGTTCCTTGACGAGTGAGATGACTTGGCTAATGAGGCAGGGTCAGGCAGATTAGATTGCTAGGATATTATCATGACCTGCTGCATTGTCTGCCCAGTAAACTATCGTTCATGGACTAAAACTTTCACCTTAGTGCTCCTCGACTAAATATTCACTCGTATCTGCTATTTTGCGAATTCACGAGCCGGCAGAGAAGCCGCAACTGAGACGGGCTTGCTTTCTCGCTGTGCGTATGGCACATTGTTCATTTTCATCCATCGTTTGTTTCAAAGTAAACCAAACACCAGATGGTGTTTAAAATATTTGTCAGTATGTTCTTGATAATATATGCAGTCGTGCATCGAGTATATCGACTTGTTATATATACTCCGAACAACAGATTTTCAGCACTTTTGGCTCATTTAGGACACGTGTCTTGTGAGTATATTACTGGTTCAAACATAACTTGTAGTAAGGGCTAAAATTAGTTTGTTCGTATTTTAATATTTGGCTGCTTGTGATTTTCAGTCTGATGTCACGTCCATGAGCAAGAGGTACAGGAAAAAGTCAGCGTGGCAACGAGGTAAAATAGTTAAGCACCAGAAATGTCTTCATCCTAAGGGTACTAAAGGGTTACCGAAAACTTCGTGCAAATCCCCAAGATCAGAATCAAACCATGCAACTGAAAGCTCGGTCCCTGATTCGGCAGCGGGTGCGAATGAAAACTGCGTGGACAAACGCGATTCAAGACTCTTATGTAATGTGAACCCAGGCCCACATGACGAAGACGTGTGTGAAGAGAAACAAAATGAACATTCCAGTCATACTGATAAAAATTTAGAAACTGGTGAGTTAGAGACTTCCGCGGTTCTAAACGTAGATTCAGGGTCAAAAGTCTCAAATTGTAAAAGAGAAAACGTGGACATGGAATTAAGTTCAAATCTGACTACTCTATCGGTGGACTTCTGTGCTTCTATTAGTGAATCTCAGTTTGAAAAGTGTTCAGATGATCTTGAATTTACGTTATGTTGTCATCTGCGGCCCAAGCAGCAGTGTACTGACTGTGACATGACGATAGAACCGTCGCTTGATGTTAGTGATAAAAATGATTTCACCGCGAAAGACGATGAGGGCGATAATGTAGAAAAGGTTTCTTTGAACCAAACAAAAGGAGTGGATCAGGACATCAAAAATTGTGTTCTAGAAACACAAAAGACAAGAAGACCTCTGTATAACCCATACTGGCTGGAACCCAATCCAGACGACTTTAAACTGGTAGCTGACTCGCTGGAAGGCGTGAGGCAGCTCTTGACAAAGTATTGCGATGATGATGTGGTGTTGATCAAGCGATTTGATGAAAAGGTGAGAGGTTTTTATGTCATAATTTAAGTCGCTACCCCTTCTTGGTGCTCTCTACAGCATACCTAAGTTTCTTCTTTGCTAAATTTTTATCATGACTTTCCAGAAGTTTGTATCTGGTGATTTATGTAAATTATTCCTGAAGTGATTCCTGTACAGAAATGTCGTATGAACATGTTTCTGGTCCTCGACAGTTTCGGAGCTATGTGGATTTGAATTGCTGTCCATTTTAGAAAATGTACTGCCATAATTACGGGGCACCCCCGTGATTCATTTGGAACATCATACATTATCTGGATGAGCTCTTCCCGGACCGTCAGGTGTTTCTTTGATGGTATTTTATCGACATAATTTTAAGAACACATATTTAATGACACTGGTTTTCTCCTTTATTACATGTTTGCGTGGCTGCCATGTTGATGCATTTGAGATCAGCGTGATGTGTCTTAGGGCATACGAACCAAGTTTCATGAGAATTGGTCAGTTGATCCAAAAGTTGTTTGATGGAGGCAGACATTGAAGTGTCATAAGCCTCACTCTCCTTATTAAATAAGTATTGAATCTGAAATCAGTAATACAAAATGGTTTGCAATATTCTGTGTGCACTTTTTGTTTCAGTCTCAAAAGGGATGTCGTCCATCATGTGAGGTGAGACTGGCTCGTCGGTTGGCGTCTATTATGAGTGACTTGCATTCTTTGGAACTGAAAATTGTCACAAATACCAAACAGACTCGTGAAAAATTATACAAGGAATGGCAGGACTTTGAAAATAGGTAATTTTATCCCTGCATGTTTTTTGAAGCTTCTTATCTGCCACTTTTTTTTAGATTTAACATCAAAATGACAGCGAAAAAATGCGTTCAGTATTAGTCCATGTTCTGGACTGGTCTACGAGATAAGTTTCATGTTTAATGTTGTAGATCTGCTGAATATGCTGATCCAGATGAGGCATTCTGGCTAAATGAAAAGGATCCTCCAGAGATTCCCGAAACACAGGCTTACCAGAATTCAGAGATATTAGATGCGGCAAATTTACCTCAGACCCCAGCGACAGATCCTGGTGATGCATCTGAAGGTTAGTGTTCCAAGATTTTACATCGATCTTACTTTTGTGCAGGATTTGGCAGAATGCAGTTGTTTAAGGGTTAAATATTTCCGTGGATCAAAATTACAGTAACCACTTCAATGGTATATTTCTGGGTCATCTTCTCCCCTGCAGTGGATTATTTAAATTTAAAATCTCGGCCATTTTCATCGTAAAATCACGAAACAGGAAACAGGAAGAATTTCAGGTTTTCAGTGCGGTGAATATGAAGATGGCTGTCTTCTGGGTTGTAACACCATGCCATCTAGTAGAAGTTTACCATCGTTTCAGAGGTGGTTGCTGCCTTCATCATCAGAGTACATATTGTGTAATTGGGGATTGCACAGAGGGTTTTTTGTTTAAAGATACGAGATAGATGTACTTCACATTACTTGAATTACAATTGATTATTTCATATATTAATGTCTGATGTTCAACAAATCACATTCCCGATTGTCTGGATGTAACTGTTGTACTGTTCTTCTGGTTTTTTGACGCTGGTTGGTAAGAGACATGACAAAGTGTAATAGTAGCAAGGTCAATGTGATTTGAGGAAACAGTTAAAGGTCCTGAATTGTTTTAAAAACAGTTGCAGTAATCCTAAAATACTCTTCTCGTTCTAGAGTGTAAGTAAAGTAAGAAAGAAAGTACAAAATGCAAGAATTTAAAACGTAATTGAAACTTACAGACGCGGTGATTAAAAAAAATCTCCGAGTCTCCGTTGCATAATTCAACTGTGCTGATGTTTATCTTGGCAATTGAAACCCGCAATCTGTCTGTAATGGGAGTCCATGCTGAGAGAAATGAGACCTGTGTTTGAAGCTCACGAATTCTAGACATGTTATTAAAGTTATTACGTCTTAAAAAAAGCTCTTTTAAGGGCTAACATATTAATTCATATTTTTTAAAGGTCACTTTACTTTATGAAAAAATGCTTTTAAGGTACGGGTCTTTTCAAAGAAAACTGTTTGTCTGCAGCACACCAGTAAAGGGCTCTTAGGTAAGGGCAATGCAGTTGAGATGCCTGCAAGCCTACAGACAATTTTCTCACATCTAGGTATCTTTATTTGATGTTGAGTCATGTGGAACTTTATTTCTAGATCCACAACAGACATCTTCAAACGGCATGAAGCTGCGCAATCGCCGTCTAGAAGATTCTACATCTAGGGATAAATTTCCTCAACTGGTTGCATCGGAAGAATCCTCTGAGGATGATTCAGACGAAAGTGACAACTGGGTTATGCCTAAAACGTCTACCAAGAGGAAGATAAATAACCCGGCAGCAAGAAGCAAGAAGAAACATACTTCGGAAGAGGTATGCCTTGGTTTGTTTTATTTTCTTTAGCCTAAATATCACTGCCCTCTTTGCGGACACCATCAGTGAAAGTTGGGTCAATAGGAAGAGAAGCAGTGACCCTTTTAGGGCGTAATAAACTATACTTATAAATTATTATTAATAGCAGAAAAATATAAGAAAGTTTCTTTGAAGATTCGTGCTTTGAATTGGTCACTTGCATACTACACGTTAGTACACGTTTCCTTACCATTTATTTAGAGGAAATATTATGTATATATCAACAGAAATGACCATATCTTCACTCGCCGTTCGCCAATGTGCATGAACCGTGCAGAGAATGTTTCATTTAACTATCTGTTACCTGTAGAGAATGTGGTATCTTTGAAAACAACTCCATTCTCGCACTAAAGAACTGATACTGTGCATCAGTAATATTTCGTATAATCTTTTCATACTTTTGCCAAGAGCAGCGTTTCCAGCAATTTTACCATTCCTGGGAGCATGTCAATAACCCCTGTCTCGTAATGTAATGTACTTCTTCAATTGAAGATGGCTGTCTTCTGAGCTGTTGCACCGCGTAGTCTGGTAGCATCGCCTCGACGATGGGGGCAGCAAGGATCTCTGAAACATCGGTAAACTATGCGGCGCAACAACCCAGAAGATGGCCGTCTACAGCTTACAAGCTTCGTGGTGTTCGTTGCGTTTCTCGTCAATATGTAAAATGAGTCGCACCTCTTTTAATAAAGTGTAAACATAAATATGCTCTTAAAAACATATCTTTTCAACAGCAGATGCCTCAGCAGCCTCCGCTCAAGTGTGATGAATCATCATCACACATGGCTGCAAACTCTTCGCCAGAGATTGAGGTTTTAGGTGGTCAAAAAGTAACAGGAAGAAAATATTCTACATTGCCAGCTGCAACGCTTCGCATAAAGAAGCGTCTCTTTTCCCAAGATGAAGCTTCACACAGTGAAGCTAACCGCCAGCTGGAATGGGAGAAGAATCGACAGACACTTGTGAACTCGGCTGCCAACAAAGTGGCAGAACTTCAGCAGCCAATTACATATATCGTTGAAAATAAGAACAAGATAATTCTTGATGCAAGAGGAAAAATGACTGTTGTGCCTATAGACAACAAGGCTAAGACTATGGAGACGACATCACAAAATCCAACTTCGACTGTGGTGTTACAGGGCTCAGTTCGGGTTTCCACAGCAACATCGGTCCAGCAATCGCCATCCAGTGGTTTACACCAAAGAAGGATAAATAAAATTTCAGGAAATCGTCGTGTTTTTGAACCTGTAAGACGTGTGATATCTGATGTTATTTTTGTCAGTGACGACAGTGAAAATAGTGATGTGGAGTTCATCGAGACTGTCTACAATCCGAAGCTTGACGAAACGCTTAGAAAGAAAGTGGCTGACCTCAGACATGAGCGTCGTAAACTAAAGACACAAAACAGATGTTCCACAAAAGATAACACTGTTTCCGATGCGCAAGCGGACACATCCAGAGTGAAACCAGTTACTTCGACTTGTAATAGTGTCACAGCCCTTCCAAATCAATTCCAAACTGGGATTTCAACCCCCCAAACTTCCGCCGCACGCCCTGTCCCAAACGCAACTACGCCCCAGAATAAGGTTGGACGACAACACGCAGCGACGCGCGTGCAACTAGAAATGCATAGCGTTTCGCAAAATGCAGACAGTAGGAATGAAACATTGCAGAAACAGGTAATAGTGCAACCAGGTGGTAACGCCGGGAGTATTTTACGAACCGACGAGTCACAGACAAGGTCAACTCGGCATATTCAACGCCCAAATCCAAGACGACCTGCCGCTGACACAAATTCATCACCCCACTCTCCTTCCAGTACAAAGAGCGATAAAAATATCTATTTAGATGATTCAGGGGTTGCTCTTGGTACGATCACACACGCACAGAAATTTAATTCCATTAGTAATGCAAAAGATGATGTAGGGATTAGATCAGAAAGCCAGTTTCTTCCCTCTGGTGTACCTCTGAGCCCGTCTCTTTCCCATAAACATCTCGTTACAGAAACAAATCCTGGTGCTTCCGTAACCCGTGCTGCTTTACCCGCAGATTCATTTACTCATTCCATTAGACCTGATATTTCAGTAACCAAAAGAGTAAGTCCTGTCTGCAAATCTAATTCTTTGTCCCAAATTCCAGGTTCTCCATTAACCCCAAAAAGATATCCCGGAGCCCCAGTGTACCAAACAACAAATCCTCATTCTCCAGTAGCCCAGACGAGCGGTCCTGGAACTCCTGTAGCTCAGAGAAGGATTCCAGGCACTCCAGCGTATGCAAGGAGTCCTGATACTCCTACAGGCACTCCAGTAATCCAGAGAAAGAGTCCTGCCACTCCAGCAGCACAGGCAAATAGTCCTGTATCCCCAGTTGCTCAGACAAGGATTCCTAGCTCTCCGAGAGTGTACACGAGGAGTCCTGGCACTACAGTAAGTAAGGTAAAGAGTCGTGGCAGTCCGGTAGCTCAGATGAGTCCTGGTAGCGTTCATTTTACGCAGACAAAGAGTCCAGACACTTCGTTGGTCCAGCCACGAAGCTCTGGTGCTAATCTGTCGCAAAGTAGAGGAAATCAGAGCAGTGGACCAGAAAGAGCTCCCAGTGACACACAGCAGCAATTGAATCGCGCGCCCGCTAGGCTCGTGGTTGTGCCTGGTGACGAGAATGTGAGTAAATACGCGTTAGTCTTGCGAGGTGGAGCGAAAGTGATCTTGACGCCCGAACAAGTGGCCGACATCCGCGCTGCCAACGGTGGGCTATTGCCGACAAACGTGGGGTTATAAATTAAGTTTTGAGTGAAGTCGCGCATAACTTGTAAATCCTTCAGGCCCGAACAAGTCAGAAGATACATGGAATGATGAACGCTACGCGTGTTTCGGTTAGTTAGAACTCGCATCATTAAAATTTAACAATACGAAGATATTCGTACGAGTAAATATTTTGTCGTCGTTTTATGAGGAATAGCGTAACTGAGTCGGTGAACTCGACTTTAAAGTGATGGGTGTAAGTCCCCTGCATAGCCTCGTGGTGAAATTGAATGCTGTAAACAATATAAAATTTTTGAAATAAACTAGTCTATTCATTGCAATTTTTTAATGTATAGTTTTCAAGTAAAATGTTGACTATTTGGGGATTAGTCAATTTACCCCTTACCGGGGTTTCGAAATAATCGGGCTGAAGGAATATTTTACGTACTGTTTCCCCTTCGTTCCCTTTGGAATACTGGAAAATAGTTTACGTACAATAGCAGAAACTTTTAAACCTTTAATTTTGGTTGGAAAGAATTATAAACATTTCAACAGGCTTTTCTTTTCCCCCAAAAAAATTCAGAAGGATTTTCATTTGAAGTTGTAACAGAGTTTTTATAATTTTGCAAGTTCGATGTTTCGAGTGTGATTTTCTTTCTGGTGGTGATGTTTCACGATTTTAAGTGATTGTAAGATTGAAAAGAAAAGGGATTTTGTGAATATATAACATTGACTGTATGATTAGTGTGTTGGTATTTTGTGGTTTTTATTCAGATATTAACCTGACCTTCATAATAATTTCACATTTTTACCTAAAGACGCCATCCGCTTACAACAGCACTGAAAAAGTAGTTGCGTTTTAATACGTGACTCGCCTGGTCATTAAGTCTTTGCTTTCTAATTCTGAATGTCTCTAATACAGAAACTTTTGCATTTCAGAACTCCAAGTGAATCAAATGCTCACAGGTGTTTGTGTACTTGTCTGAATTTTTATATTTTGTTATCTATTCTCTAATGCGTTGTTACATCCTCCTGTTTCCTTCTGAATTAACAGAATATTTTGATGTCCAGCGACTTGTCTGTGAGAATTTGCAAGTACCATGACTTAATTTGAATATCATATTAATTGTTCGATCTGAGGATTTCGTGGCGATGAGTCTGAAGATTTCTGGGTTGTTGCCCCGCGTAGTCTGGTAGAAGTTTATCGACGTTTCAGAGGTCATTGCTGACTCCATCATCAGAGCGGTGTTCAAACCCGCTGCTACCACTGGCGAACGAGCGGCGTCTTGCGTCTGGGAACTTAGGTAGTGGCTGCTGGAGTAGATTCTTTGGCACCGCTGGGGCCTTCAATACGAAGAGGACGAAGATGGTTCTCAAAAGGTTAGTGTTTACTTCATTAAGCCGCCTGAAACGGCTGTCAGCCCGAGAGGAATTCATTATCCTTAGTCGTCGCAAAAGCCTCAGATCTGTAAGTTCTGTCCTCTGGCATAAAGTGTTCTAAGTGTAGGTAGCAAGTAGATTTTTTCTGTGTTATTATTTTGGATTGTATGTAATTAAAGTAAATTGAGCTAAATTAATATTGTTACCGTGGGAATGGAAGAAGGCTTCTCTAATACGACATAAATAGTTGGTCGTTACGTCGCAAATACGTCATATCACGGTGCGATAAGTAGAATATTAAAAATAATAATCCTGGGTTCAGGAATCGGTTGGTCACAAACCGCTGTTCCTTCGGTATAGAAGCAGTCCTGAACCAGTAAAAATCCAAAATAAATTAAGGAATCTGTAAATATCTGCTGGTCTAGTCCATTAATCATCCCAGTATCCGAAATAAATACGTGGTTTGGTTATGAATTAATTTGTAAATATTTTTTTTATTTTTCGTTTAATTGGTACTTCGAGAATCATTACTTAATATTCCCGTTCGCTTGAGAAGACTAAGACGGGGCCACGAGTGGGAACAATATGGAACTCGTTGGCGATGTGTCATTCACCCCAATTGAACGCTTTCTTGTTTGTGCATTATGGTCGATACTTCCAACTGTTTCACACACACACACACAAAATTATGACGTTCGTCTATAAATTCATTTCTTGGCTGACACTTCCTATAAATTAGAGCCCTCCAACAAACTTCAATAATGTAAAAAAAAAAATTAAAAAATAAGTTCAACTGAAAGTAAACATTTATTACTTTGCAAGTAATAAACGTAATGTTACATTTAACCCCCATTGGATTATGAAGACGTAGAGACATGAATATTGCAATTCTTCTTCTGTTGGTTGTTTATCTGAAGTCACTGCAAGAACTAAGGCAGCCCACTTACAGTGAAACACATCTGAAACGTCGAGGATTTAATTAAAAAGCTCATACGGTTGGCCACATGTGCCTGAAATAATATTGGGAGCTTGAGTCAATAGTGTTTCATTTCTGATAGCGCAGAGGAAGTATCTAGCTATTGTACCGTCCAATTCTTCTCCGATATCCGATGAATGGAGAATATCTGACCAGTAGTCAGTACAAAAATTCCATAAACATTACAAAGTATTTGGCCTTGTGTTCGACTATTTAACATTACTTTATCCCCATCTTGCGCTCTATGAAACAACATACCGTAACCACATTGCGCAAGCGCGCGAACGAATTGTCGATGCGCGGGTAATTTCTGTGTGTCAGTACTCAGTCTGGTTCTTGTAAGTGCGTGTGCAAATTTTTGTTGCGGTCCGTATTAAAGGCTGACAGAAATATCGACTGTGAGTTTAGTGAACCGAATGTTACTTAATTTGGGAACAGAAAAGGTACCAGCGATAAACATTAATTATAGTAAAACTGTCATTGAATAGTTTTAAATTAACGGCCTGCTGTTACGAAATATCGTAATCACGGAATTGTAATTTTTTAATTTATTTTAAATGAGCGAAAATTATAACCTGGCAAATATTGCACATTTTGGTTGTTAATATATATTTTGCATAAAATTTTACGTTCCATTTTCGGTTTAATAATTATGTTTATGTTTTGGGGGAATTTTGCAGTTTACTCTATATTAAGGATGTCAGAGGTAGGACTGTTTGACATACCCAGTTATATAACGTTATATCCCGCAGAATACTATGCATTTGTTTGTGGTAAAAACTTGAAAATTTTATATTTTGTCATTTTATCTGCTATCATCACATCTTCACGCTTTTGATTAATTCAAATACCTTGCAATTATATTCTGTCGCACCATTTTCCACCGCATTTATAATACAATGGCACGCCTTTAATAAAATAATTTGCGTGCGCAATAAAAACTATCAATTGTCTTCAAATGCGCCTTCTAAAATCAGTCAATATGAAAATACTGTTTGCTGAAGAGAATGGAAATATTCTAAATGTAACTTAATTCATCCTGCAGTGATCGCTGTAGACTTCTGTCTTTCGCAACAAGTTAAAATGTTAAGTGTAATGCTCCTTTAAAAAAAATTATATTACTCTAGTAAGAAATGTAGAAATCTTCGTTTTAGGTTAGTATTTTCAAACATGTTACTAGTTCTACGAAACACACTAACTGCTAGATAATCATGAATTATACACAGATTTTTATTTCAGAGTGCATTTCCCAATGACCACAACGAATATGATCAACAGAATTTGAAATATCAAACGAACAAATAAAAACTGATATTTTCTTCATCCATAAAAGTTGCATTTTGAACGTCTCCCACAAGAATGGTAAGTAGACTACTCGTGTTTGTGTTCGGTGTTGAATTTTTCATTTCATGTTTATGTTACGCTCAGTTCTTCTCGTGCGTACTTGATTGTAACAGCGGAAGATGTCCTTGAGAGTCCTGGCCATGGCTTGGGAGACTTCTCCCGTGCACATCCGATAAATATTACTAATCCAACAACTATAACATGGTTTTCCTAGCAACTCTCGCAAAGTCTGTAAAAGAATGCACACACGAATTGAACGAAACGTTTATTTTTAATGACGTCAAGGTAAACTTAACCTTATTTTTGTTCTGTGTTTCCATTCACAGCGATGAGATCTCGGTTCTCACCTTCATTGTTACGCATTAATAATTTCGCAACTGATTAAACGGAACACCAGCCAACAATGGAAACACCGTCTCTATGCTAATTAAACGCAAATATATCACTTCTGTAATTTATCACGGTCTTCTGTTATTCTGTCAAGGCTGCGACTAAACTTAGAAACAGGAAAATGTTTCTCAGGTTTCTAGACAGTGCGTCAGGAACTTGATTAGCATAAATTTATATTCAAGCTTTGTGAATCAGCGGGTACAGGTGGTTCTAAAAGTTCATTGTTAGACATTCATCAGCAGCCAACAATTAAGGCTATTAGAACGCTTCTAAAATTAAACCCTGATATATGATCGGTCACAGAATCTGCGGTGCCGTGGTTAGCATTTACATTTCGTATTCGGGATGTTCTTTGTTCAAATATTGAATGCGAAACAAACTATCTTGTAAGACTTCTTTCGTTGTAGTTCTCAGTCTGTCGGTGTAAACGTTAGAATAGTAACTTAAAATAGACCACAACATAATCCAGCAAGTTCTTGATCTTTTGATCGTAATCATTCGATGTTTT